TAGAAAAACATGAAAATAGAAGAAATATATAACATGCAGAAAGCTGTAATATAGTAATCATTCAAAGAGAAATGATTAAAATACAGGCTACCAGTTAAAAGTACTGAGGCCATAATACTGTAGTTTGTTTGTCCTTGTGCAACCAACACGAGACAAAGTGTTTTTTATTGATATTAGTGATTAAAATACAGGCTACCAGTTAAAAGTACTGAGGCCATAATACTGTAGTTTGTTTGTCCTTGTGCAACCAACACGAGACAAAGTGTTTTTTTATTGATATTAGTGATTAAAATACAAAAAATTTAAATACATGAGATCTACAGTAATCATCATGTTTATCTACAGTAACACAATTTAGAAATAAACTAGCAAGCAATTTAACATCGGCTGGAAATTGTGAATATGAATAGAAAAATACATTTCCAAGGAAAAAATGTCTTCAATGATCTTATTTCAGCTTCAGAAAATACCAGACTTTACAAAACTGGTGTGATAGAAATATCTATTTCAGACAGTAAACATTCCATCCTAATCTTTACAGGGAGATTGTATAGTAGTTTGAGTTGTTAAAAAGTGACTTACTAGCAAATGCTAGGGGGTTAACTTTTTAGCTCAGTTGGTAGAGCATTCACTTGGCATGCGACATGTCTCATGTTCAAATCGTAGGCGAGGGAATATATCATGAAAATAAATCACCATAATTTTTGTCAATACCTTTGACGGGAAGGTAATGAATGGAACTTGAAAAGTTAGGAAAGGTTTTCATCGTGCAATTAATATATCTTATTTCATGAATGTCTATGGTCTAGATCAGCGTTTTCCAACTTGGTCGCCAAGTGGGGAAACAGCTACTGACCTGTGGCAAAGTGGTGTTTTACTTGTACCACCTATTTTTTTAAATACATCTTTTAATAAAATTCATTTATACATGTACAAGTTTAAAAGTGTCCACTTTTATATTAATTTTGAGGATAAAATACTCGAGAAACCTTACTGTTCTGTAGTAAAAATGGTGAAATCAAAATATAGGTGCAGATATTGGGTGAAAATTTGGAGGCAGAGTTGAGATGTAGTCTAACTGACTTTATGCCCGACTTCCCTGCACTACTTAATGAAAAGATATGTCAGATTCCTCATTAATTCTATCAATAAATAATAGAAAACATTATTCTGTATTTTTCTACCGCCTCTATATCTATTAAAACAGTTAATATATTTTTTTTTGACATGTGGCAAAAATGTCAATACATTTTCCTCAATTTTGGTGATTAAGAAAAACTGTTGGACACTGCTGGTCTAGATGCTTTGATTAGTCAAATATGTATAACAAAAGGTTATGAAAGGTTCTGCATTCACAGTTAAAACTAATTTTTATCAATAAATATGCTAGGCATTGATTTTTCCTGGAGATATTAAAGAAAACGGTAACCTATTTAATCTCAAGCATACTTATCAACTTAATAATCAGCATGAGAACTATATATATATCTATAATTCTTAGTATCATAAGATATCATTTTGACATAAGAAATGTTCAAAATGTATCCAATCTTCAAATCTGGAAGTCTCACATAGACCATTATACTGTCAAAACAATGTACCACACACACAACACACAAAAAAGGAAGCATACAGCTCTATCTGTCTATTCTGATTATCACTTTCTCAAACTTCATATTTCCTCAATGCACTACAGTTGCGGCTTACAGTTGAACCTATTTATTATAAGGATAAATCCAACATGTTTGATATCAATAAATCATATTGAAGATCCCGTTATGAAGCACTGGCATTTTTCATTATTTTCAGTGCTTCAAGGAGCAAGAAATATATTTAATAAAACATGATCATGTATAGCACATGCAATATGACGAAATGTTATGCATAATTAACTAATGCATTAGAGATGCTTCACCACAAAAGGAAAAGTACGTCAAGTACAAACCGAAAATGCATTTTAATCGGTATTGACAAATAGACGTCTACATTATCCCTAAACTGACGCTGTCGTAGCAGAGAGAAGCCCATAAGAATAATTTTACAGATCTCATTAGAGACTAGACACGATATCCATATCTACAAACTGACACCATTGCAGCAGAGAGAAAGCTACAGGAATGTTTACATTAACTTCGTTAGACTAGACACAACTTCCATAAAAGGTATTAGTAAGGAAATCAGAGACTCCAGGCAGAACTTTGATGTGAAGAAGATGAGAAGAGGCTTCTGATTTACCATCTTCGACTATGACCAATTATTGAAGTATTTTGTTCTTAGTTCTGAGAATTACGAGACTGCAATAATTATCCAATTAAGTGACAGATTTAGGTTAGATGTGTATATATCTTAGAGTCAAATAACGTAGTTAGTATTTGGATGTACAATGTTTGATATTAAGAATTAATGAAGGATATGTCTGAGCAGATTTCAATCAATGTGTTAATCAATACTTTACTAGTAGTATTAAGTAATTTAATGAATGCTATAGAAAGTTTAATTAAAGCTACCTGCTCAGATTGATGAATTTAATAGTTTTAACAATGAAAGGTTTCAAGATACTTTCGGTCATTTCGACGTAGCCGAGTATCTTAATATATTGCATTAAAGTGTGGTTTGTGTTTTGAATCTCAGTCTCAGGGTCAATTGTTAAAAGTGTGGTTTGTGTTTTGAATCTCAGTCTCAGGGTCAATTGTTAAAAGTGTGGTTTGCGTTTTGAATCTCAGTCTCAGGGTCAATTGTTAAAAGTGTGGTTTGCGTTTTGAATCTCAGTCTCAGGGTCAATTGTTAAAGTGTGGTTTGTGTTTTGAATCTCAGTCTCAGGGTCAATTGTTAAAGTGTGGTTTGTGTTTTGAATCTCAGTCTCAGGGTCAATTGTTAAAGTGTGGTTTGTGTTTTGAATCTCAGTCTCAGGGTCAATTGTTAAAGTGTGGTTTGTGTTTTGAATCTCAGTCTCAGGGTCAATTTTTTAGTCTAACTGTAAATTCCTTGAGTTAGTGACTTGTGGCTCTACTTGTGACTGTAACCTGGAATTAAATAAATCTATTGATAACAGTATTTAAGTCAAACTCCATATGATTAGCGGACCTGCCATCCTAACCTTTTACAGTTAGTTCACTAAAATACACACTATGATGTCACGTTTTTTACAACAGTTTGATCCTAACTGTTGCAGTTAAGATTTAGAATCAAAACTTTAATACATACTAACTAGATCATTAAAAAGATTTGTGAAAATGTCAAAAAATATAAAATATTATGAAAATCTGATTCCCCATCAGTAGGTAACATTAAACACTTATTTTCCCAATAATATGTTTTTTATTTCATAAATTATTTCTATTTTATAGCCAAAGATAAGCTTAACAGACTTGAACAAATTGACAGTGATTTACATTTGACATTTTATTATAAGTGGTTTTATTCTTGATAAAATATCTGTGATAAAGCACACAGAACCAGCTGGAAGTGCTTGGAACAAAGTACTAAAGGTCAAGAGGTGCATAGATGTCAGATAAGGAAACATGCATTTATTGGTGTAGTGGTAAAATGTCTTGTGCCAGAGTAACAAAAAAAAATCCTACGAAATTTCCTGTCTTTGAATTACATATGCAAATACAGACTGCATTTTATGCATTAAATTCACTTATAATTAGCATCCTATATTAAATTAGGCTTATTTAATCAGCAGGCATATCCCAGTCATAAAAATACAATTAACATATTAACTATAATTTGTATATGGCATCTCTATACCACAAATTCATGTACATTTGTAAGTTACTTTAAACATACAATTATTTTAATATTTTCAAATACAACATTTTAATTATACAAGTTTAATACTAGAAAATACTGTATGTACAATTTAACTAACTTACAGCAATATGGAGCTAATCACACCAAAGAAATATAGGAATGATGCCCTGGTCTACTTCGGTCCAACTGCACCACTGCATGCATTGAGTTGGATGTTTGTATAAACACACACACACATAGAGCACATTACATGATTACCCACCTTATGATTTGTGCTCCAGTGTTGGATGTTTGTATAAACACACACATGGGCACTTTACATGATTACCCACCTTATGATTTGTGCTCCAGTGTTGGATGTTTGTATAAACACACACACATAGGGCACATTACATGATTACCCACCTTATGATTTGTGCTCCAGTGTTGGATATTTGTATAAACACACACACATGGGGCACATTACATGATTACCCACCTTATGATTTGTGCTCCAGTGTTGGATATT